CCTGACACGTTTTGGCAGAAGTAATGTGCCAATGTCAGGCCCGGGCTTTCCCACGTTTGTATCTCGGGACACTGTCTGTGGGAGCCCCCAATGGTCAGGGCAGAAGTCTTCACATTGCTAGCTGGAGAACCCAGCCTTCCGGGTATCCCTACCAAGGTCCCAGACCTTTGAGTAAAGTCAAATCAGACCCTACAGACGGTCTGCCTGCTGAATACCACAGAAGAGCCTCAGTCCACACCACAGGCAGCAGAATTGCCCAGCTGAACCCTGGCCCATTCCCTGACCCACAAAATCACCGGTTCTAATAAAAGGGTTGCTTTAAGCTGCTAAGTTTAGGGTGATTTGCTGACACAGCAACAGATGACCTGAGTATCATGTGATAGACAGTGGCTCCAGGTGAAAGGAGTAAACTCTCCCTCCCTTGCATCTGGGTCCTGCAGCATGTAGCCACGTGGAGCAGATGTCTGACAACATATAACATAGGCACCAAATAAACTCTTGCTGTTACAAGCCATCCAGGGGCTGTTCACTCCCTCAGTCACACTTAGAATCGAATACACTGCATAGCTGTTTTTTCTCTCCCCTTTTATCAGTATTAGGAAAACCCATTTCCCATGATGGAATCTGAAAATGTCAGATACTCATTTCTTCAGCCTCCCTCACAGCTAGAGGTGTTCTTGTTCTGACCAGTGACAAGTGATGGGCAGTCAGTGATGGGAGTATACTTCTGGAAAAGATTGTCCTCAATGACCAGGAGAGGGATATGAAAGGAGTTACCTTTAGCTGCCTTGGCCATCCACTCAGACACCTGTTCTAGACACTGCTCCCATAAGGATGTGATGGCTACAGCCACAGCAGCCATCTTGTAAACATGAGGCAACAAACTGGAGAAGTAAAAGCCAATATACTGAGGAATGAAAGGATAAAAGATCTTGGATCCTTGATAAAATTGTTGAACCCCTCAACAATCTAGGACTGTCTACCACCAAAAACATCTTATAATGTGAGAGAATTATCTTAGGTGTTTAAGGCACTGTTAGTTGGGAATTCTGTTATTTGTAGCCCCCAAAACCCAACTCGTATATAACTTTTTGTTGATTTTGTAACTGCATTCTGATTTTCCTTTAGGGGATCGACAGACTACAACACACACAGACACACACACACAGACACAGACACACACACACAGACAAACACACACACACACACACACACACACACACACACACACTGCATTTGGTCCAGGTGAGATTGCACTCTCCAGTTCCTGGGGTAAGCGCATGACCAGGTCTGGCGAATCAGAGTGGCCCATCCACCTGGCTATAGTGAGTAAGCTGAGGATCTCTTCTGGGACATTGGGCCGAACTGTCAGGGAAGAGAGGCTCTCTCTTCATTGGGATTGCCGCTTAGGAATTAAAGCAACACCAAGGAGAGCAGAGTTGAGGAATGGAAAGACTAATTTCTGATGGTATTATTGAGCTTTTGAGACTCTCCTTTGTCTGGTCTATCTACCTTTGGACTTTTCTTTCAGTTATGTGAACCAATAAATTCCTATTCTTTCATAAACCGGTTAACAATGCGAAGAATCCTGACTGATACAGACCAGAGTCCTACTTTATATACAGGGCCAAAGGGCCTCAGCTGAAGTAAAGCAGGGTTTGGAGGGGAGGGTGCTGGGGAGGGCAGCAAGCTATGGAAGGACAAGATGTGACAACTCCACGAGGTGGCTGCTCGCATCTGTCTCATAGATAACAGAGGCACTGAAGGGCAAAGCGACTTACCCAAGGTCGTACAGTGAGTAATTAATTAGAAGGGCGCAGATTCAATCGCAGACCTAATAAAACTCCAAAACTCAAGTCATTCCTACTGAGCCACACTGATTTGCAGGGTAGGTCTCTAACCAGAAACCAAGCCCGTATATTGCCTCTCAGACATCAAGAGAGTTTTATTGGTGTTAGCTGGGTGGGGCTGAGGACAACCCAGAGTTTCCTTGTATTTGAGTCACATTCAAGATTCTTTTCTTAACTGTCTTCCTGATCAGTTAAGAAGAGGCAATGGTAGCCATAATTAGATCTATCCAACATGACTACCTAGGTCCTTTTACTTGCTTCCCTTCCCAGGACTCCCTACACACCGTCTCCCGTTCAGTTACCTTGGTGAGGAAAGGAGCTCCCTCAGGAACTCCCATCTTTTCTTCAGGATATGTAGATGGTACATGGGTCTGGAAAATTCCAGGTCAGCTAAACCCCTTCAAAGTATCCCTGGTGGCATCAGCTGGGACAGGTCCAGTGCCTGCCCCACACCCCTCAAGTGAGGATCCCAAGCACAAGCCTAGAGCTGCCTCCAGCCCCTCCCTGAGGACTCTGCCAGCAGAAAGCTGTTGCTCGTAACATCTCCAGCTCTATGAATCATCCATCATAACGCCCTGCTACTTTTCCCTGGACTTGACCTGTGAGTTGACTCCATTTCCATGGCCAACCTCTTACCAAACCCAATCTGACCAGCAGCCAGCCTGAGGACCAGGGTATCTAGCACACTGTTGGCTGCCTCCGATCTGTCCCGGCAGGAGGCAAGCTCTTCCCAGGACTTCTTGGTCATAGTGCCCTTCAGCCGGGGGTTCCCACAATGTAGGGAACACACAGCTCATGTACACAGATGATGTCTGGTAGTAACCTCTTGGCTTTAAATAACATCCTTGAATCACGCAATGCAAAGGTCATTTCCTTCAATTCTTCCTCCGTCCTTCAGGTCACCAAAGAGAAGCTCTGTTTGGTGCAGATTTGTTTTTACAACTCCTCGACACTTGCTAGTCTCCCTTTTTGACACTCTTTTTTTTTGGGGGGGGTGTTCTTTGTACTGCTTTTGTACAGTTATTTATGGCAATTGGTGCTGATTTCTAATTTACAGTGGTGATATTCAGTTTCCTTTATAAGCTCAAATATATCCACTTTAAATGAGTCTGTTTATAGGCAAATAATGAGCGAATAATGACCCAGCGCCTAGGTGCTGTGGCAAGACTGAGGATGGTAAGCAAATCACTTCAATTCAGCAACAGCTGCTCACAGCACAGGGGCTCCCCACAGGTGTCACCATGCTCCCCCCCACTTCAATGAACGTATCCATAGGTGACACTGTCAGAGTCGCTATTGAGAGGGTAAGGGACACACAGCTTCTGCTACCCCAGCCAGACTGATGCCCCTCCCTCCTGCATGACAAGTCTCCAACCTCCTGAGCTTGGGCTGGATCAGGGGGCTTTCCTGCTAAGGGGGCGGAGTGGGGGGGGCGGGCGACAGTTTGCTCCTCCATCCACCAGAATAGGGAGTAGAGTCTTAGGGATCCCCTGGTACTGGAGGATCCAGTAGCAATGACCATTGACACAGAGTGGGTGTGGGCAGGAATGGCTGGGAGGCCCTCCCAAGAGCCTGTAGGCCAAGGGACTGCTCGGTGTTTTATGTATGTTGGAGAACTTCTTATGGAGAGCTGTCACTAGGGGTCTGGCCAGAAGCTTTCGGTAAGTGTTTCTAAAAGTCTGGTCCTTCAACCTCCAACATCAGAATCATGTACTAAAAATATAGATTTCCCTATAGACTCAGGAGCTCTGAAATGGGGCCAAGGAGTCTGAACCTTTTTTTAAAAGTAATCTCTATGCTCAACATGGGGCTTGAACTCATGATCTTGAGATTAAGAGTCACATGCTCTACCAAGAGAGGCAAACAGGTATGCCCCCTTTTTTTTTAATTTGAGGTCTAAACTTTCATCAGATATAAAATACCATCAGGAAACATGTCAGTCACAGAAAGACAAATATTGCATGATTCCTCTTACGTGAGACATCTAAAAGAGTCAAATGCATAGAAGTAGACCATAGAACGGTCTTTGGCAAGAGGGGGGGCGATAAGGGAAGCTATTGTTCAATGGGTATAAACAGTTATCCAAGATGAGTAAGTTCCAGAGATCTTCTGTACAGCACTGTGCCTATAGTTAACAATTTGGTGTTGTACACTTAAAAATGTGTTAAGCCAGGGGCGCCTGGGTGGCTCAGTTGGTTAGGCATCTGCCCTCACCTCAGGTTGTGATCTCGGGGTCCTGAATCAAGCCCCGCATTGGGCTCCCTGCTCAGCGGGGAGTCTGCTTCTCCCTCTCCCTTTGCCCCTCCCCCCTCTCGTTCTCTCTCTCTCTCTCAAATAAATCCTTTAAAAATTTTGTTAAGCTAGTAGATCTCATGTTAAGTGTTCTAAACACACACATACACACACACACACACACACACACAAATACCAGAGTGATACAAGGACATTTTTGGAGACGATGGATATTTATTACTTGATTATGGTGATGGTAACATGAGTGTATACCTATGTCCAAACTCATCACATGGTATACATCAATTACGTGCAGTTCTTTGCACACCAATTATGATACAATAAAGCTGGGGTAAAATGGAAGCCACCACACATACAGGAATGGTGAATGCTGAGCAGGTGGTGTGCTGCTAAATGTTTAACAACAGGCTCTCCTAAGCAGAAAAGCCCTGGTCTATTGCCTTTGTCAATGTCCTTGGTGTAAATATCCCCGCCACAGCCAACCCAAGCTACCAACGTGACATCACTGAAAACACAGATGGAAGCCAGAAGCATGCTTGACTCTCATGTGTTGACATAAGACAGCTCCAGCACAGCGCTGGGAGGAGATAATGGGCAGGGCACCAATAGCATCTCCTATAGGCACAGCCAGAGCATTTTGCTGTAGACATAGGATCTCACAATTTTATGTGACTTTTACCCTCTATTCTGTGATATAGCAATGTTTGAACATCTTACCATGAAAAAATGGAATTATTCTCCAAATCTTTGAATAATGTCATGCCCTGGGAAAGTATGTCTTGTTTATTACTTTTATGTCATCTGTGCCCCCACCTGCCCACCCCCATCCGCCTGGCGTGCACCCACAGAATCGGTGAAAACCCATTTAAAAAGTCAGACTTCAAGAATCCCCCCCTCCCCAGTTGGGTCAACCTAACAGTAATGGATATCTCTTGTTTTGCCCAACTGGCATCATTCCCCTTTTTTCTGATAATGACACTTCATTTTCCTGTAAACAGTTCCTCCTTACCCTACCCTCAGTGCTCAGGCTTTAGCAGTTAGCACAGGACACAGGCAGGGTCAGTTAGAGCACTCCGTTCCCTTGGAGCTAGGGACAAGAACCCACTCAGGCCAATGACACGCTTAGCTTGGAACGACTGAAAAAAGGAAATCCCTCCCCACTGGATTACTAGGCTAGTAGGATGGAAGCCTGGAGCTTCTGGTGGCCATCCTCCACCATGGGGAAAGAGCCCTCCTGAGAATAAAGCCGACACAAAAGAAAGCCGATTGAGAAATGAATCACTGAGTCCTGATAGCATTATGTGAGCACTTTGAATCTAACGGTGCCTGAGGACACTTCCAGACTTTTCCGGCATTCTAAAGACACTTTCAAACTTTTTAATTCATGAGCCCATTAAATCCCTTCTTTACCCAAGGCGCTATAAGTTGGGTTTTCAGTCGCTCACAACCAGAAGATTGCTGGCTGATTGACAAATCTGAGATCAAATGAGCTAGACTTTATTTAGTACATGCCCTTCTGGCTTTCTCTCCTTGGTCCTAAATAGAATTTAGCATAGACACAAAAATACAGTTTATGGGGGCCCTGCCCCTTGGGTGGCTGAAGATAAATCCCAGGCTGAACTGGTCTGTGTAAGCTAGTCAAAGGCGCCAAAGGGGGTCACTTCAGGATCCGGATGCTCATTTTCTGCTCGATGTCCATCTTCTCTAGGGACTGGTGGGGGGAGATGGGAGGTAGTCAAGAGTTCAATCCTCTAGGCTTCCAACCACCTCTCCCATCCCCAGAGCCCCACCTTTCCTTGGCGACCCGGATCCTTCTGCCCACCTCCTTCCAACTTCCTTTCTCATGTCCATCTGTCCTAGGGACTCCTGATGTCAACTCCCCAGGCCTAAGGGCATTCTGACCTTGGTGAATTCCAGGAAGGACACGGCCCCATCCCCATCTTCATCTGCCTCCTGCACCGTGCGGTCCGCGATGCTCTCCAACTGCTCTTCTGTCACCTGCACTCCAACCATCAGCCGGAGGACCTGGGAGGCGTGTAGGGGGACAGCCATAAAGAGGGGGCACTAGCCCCATCCCCCAAACCTTGCCCACATCATCCCAAATGGTATTACCCATTTTGTAATCTCTCCCTTATCCATTTTTTTTCACTCCCCACCATATTCCCCCAATAATTTCCCCCACTACTTCTCCATTCGAACCCCCATCTGTCTCTCTTCACACTCACCTTAACAATATGTCCAAACTCATTACCCAACCCCAAATCTTATAACCCAACCTCCCTCCATCCTCCACCCCCCCCACTTCATCATATCTATTGCAGAGTTTCTGAATCTCAGCACTCTTGACATTTGGGGCCAGGTAACTCTTTGGGGGAGGAAAGGGGGCTATCCCGTGTATTGAAAGATGTTTAGCAGCATTTTCGACTTCTACCCACCAGATGCTGGTAGTACTGCCCCGTCCCCCAGCTGCGAAAACCAAAAATGTCTCTAGATATCGCCAGTGGCATTCAGGAGGCAAAATCACCCCCAGTTAAGAAGTTAAGATCTATTTCCAACCTCACACGCAACTCTTCCCCATTCCATTTCCCAACTAAACCCCACCCAGGCGGGGGTCCGCTTAATACCCCAGTGCTCTGCACCCTCATTGGCCAGTCATCCGGCCCATCCGCCCACAGCCTTTCCCTTCAACCACCACACTTCACACATCACATCTCTTGCCCTTGCATTCTTCTAACCTGTAGCATCTCATGCCTGGAGATCTTTCCATCTCGATCCAGGTCATAGAGCTGAAATGCGACTGGAAGAGAATGGCGGGGGAAGGGAAGGTGGGATTTCTCTGGTTCTCTTCCAGCAGAAGGTCACCCTGGAGGTGTGGGGGAGGTCATCTAGACGCTCCCGAAGAGAGGGAGGTGCCTGGAGCCTCTCCCTGGTGTGGTATATCTAGGGTCTCACTTGGGGAGGGGGTCCTCACAAACTCACAGCGAAGTTTATTCATTCTGCTGTTGAGGGGTTCAGGTTCCCTGGGGTCTCGCATGCCTGGGTCCTCATCATCCACAGGTCGAAAATGAGCCAGGATTCTGACAAAGCCTGGGAAATCCACTCGCAGGTTCCTGGGAGCAAGGGAGCAAAGGCAGTGGTCACCCTCCGCCTCTGTGCCTAACTCTCCCCCAAGCCCCAACCCCCGGGGGGCCTCACCCGTCAGGGAAGAAGCTGTCTATAATGCGCTCTCCCAGGGGGTTCACGGCCAGCGCCCCAATCTGCTGCAGATCCATGCGGCTGCCAGGTCAAAGTTCAAAAGGGGGTAGTAGGTAGGGCAAAGACGGGAGACGGAGGGTTAGTTAAAGAGGGGAATGGGCCCAGAGAGACAGGTGGCAGGTCCTGAAGCCATGGCCCCCCTCACCTCAGGTAGCCCTTCTTGTTCCTGTCCAGTGCCCGAAACCGGTGGTAGAGGCGGAGCAGACTGGCCTGCGAGACTGCGGGACGGAAGGCGGAAGGGTGACACGGCCGCGGGCGCGGGGGACGCGCGGCAGGACCCTCCCCGGGCGACCCCGGGCCGCGGGCGGGGGACAGGAGCCCGCTGGAGGGGACGCCCGCCAGGGACCTGAGGCCCACGCGGCGAGGCTGCAGGGGGCGTGACGACGCACTCCCGCGGGGTGGACCGAGGCACCGGGCCAGCCCCCTCCCCCCTCCCCCCTCTCACCCACCCCCCTGCCGGGCTCGAGGACACCTGGCTGCCCGGCTCCACCGGACCTGGACGCCGGGAGCCCCGGGTTCCCGCGCCCCGCACGCGGGGCGCTCCCTGGAGCCAGCCCCGCTCCGGAACCCCCGCGTGCCCGGGTCCGAGCCCCGCGCCCCGCTCACAGCCCGTCTCCCGCCGGATGCTGTCCCCGTCGGGAATGCGCGCGGCGTGGGAGCCGCGGGAGCCCATGGCTGCACCCGTTGAGCCGCCCGGCCCCGCGTGCTCTCCTCCCGCTCCGGGGCGCGGCCGCCCCAGTGGCCCCAGGGCCGAAGGCCGCAGGCCTGGTGCCGAGCCAGACTCGGGAACCCCTGCGTGCCTCGCCTCCCACCCGCGACCCGGGCGAACAGAGAACAATGCCCAGGGTGGCGGGGTCAGAGGGGCGGCGCGAACAACGGGGCGTTTCATCCCGAGATGGTGAGGTCGCCTGCGCCCCGCCTGCCCTACGCCCGCCCGCCCTGCGTTCTCACGCCGCGGGACAACCGACCCACGTGCCCCCCCTCCGCTCCCCGGCGAGGTCCCCGCTCCCGGCTCCCGGTGGGTAAGGCTGGGGTCCTGACCTTATCGTCCAGAGACGGAATCCATATCCTTCTGGGAAGGGGGCCGGGTGGTAGGCAGGGGAGCTGGACCCCTTTGTCCCAATCCCGGAATGGCCCAGCCTGGGGCCCCTTCCCCAGGCAGGAGGGTGCGGAAAGAGAGGCGTTGAAGGACACCCCCAAGAAGGGGGGAGGGGGGAGGGTCGTGAGCGGTAGAGGGGAGGCTGGGTTGAGTGGAGGGATCACTGGATTTGGAAAGACATGGATTGGAATCCCAGCTATGCGATTAACCCTGGACAAGTCGGTATGATTTGGCTTCATCTCTTTTGTTTCCTCCACACAGTGTAATTGTTGGGGTTTAATTGAGTCAGTGCTTAAAAATCAGGAGATATAACGAGAAATCCAGTCCCCAGCTTCTGAGAAATAGAAAGTTCAGACGCCACCAGACCCCCCGTGTGTGCCTGGCACACCTGGTTGCACCTGGGGGACAGGTGTCACGTGTAAATAGGGCATCGCCGCCTGTCCACTGGCCCCAGTCCCCACCCAGCTCAGTTCCCTTCCTTATGTACCTGGTGGAGCCTCCGGTAGAAGCTCCAGGTTGGAAGGCCTTGGACCTCTGGCCAGCCCTCAAGCACCATGGGAACCCACAGTCTGAGAGGGGGTTACAAACATCACTGTGACCAAGCTTAACATAATAATAACGGCAACAACAAGGGCTCTCATTTCGCACTCACCATGCACCAAGCACTTTGTGAAACACAATGTACATGATTAGCTCACACTCCTCAAAGCTGCCTGCTTCCCCCTTTTACATGGTGGAGGTTGCCAAGGGGGTGGTTGTGAACTATTGAGAAGCACATATCCTAAGTGGGAGACATATCCCCCAAGGGGGCAAAAAATCCTATTCTTATGTATAAAACACAGATATGCATATAGTGCATAAATAGCATATAGTATATCTGTAGTATTAAAATTTCATAGTATTAAAATTCCATGATTAGGAAAAACAGTCTAAAAACACTCCTTATGTGAGGGCCATAATGAAGAAAGTGTGGAGAAACTCAGTTGTAAAGGAACAGGCACCACAGGTGTCCAGTTTTAAATTTCATTATCCCTTCTTCCTGCATCATAATCACACATTCACACGAATTTCCTAGGGGAAAAAATATATAAGCCATTTATTACAGGAGTACAAGTTCATAGCCACCCTGGAGAGAGAAAAGCTGGAAAAACGGTGGATCTTCAGTCGAAGCCTCCACGCAGAGGCTTGGATCAGATCAGCCTTGAAAATATTGATCTAAGAAGTGCTTACTTCTCTTTCAGATACCCCAAGGACTGAACAAGGGCCATAAGGAAAGCTTGATTCCCTCTCAGATGCCCCCCAAGGACTGAAGAGTGCAGGAAACCACACTGCTCCCTAATGAAGCCCAGCAACCACTCCTATCTGCGGCAGTGAGTCAGGCTATGAGTATATTTTGGGTTAGGTTCTGAACCCCGGGAGGGCTAAGAGTCCCTGGGATCAAGCAACAATCACCTCAGGCCAGTTGGGGATGTTGATCTTGGAAAGAGCCGCTCCAGCCTTAATCTCTGAGTCAGCACTACACCAAAGTAAATTAGGCCAGAGAGTAATTAACAACTCCCATCCACACACCATCATCACAAGCCTAGGCGAAAACACTGTGCTAAAACCCATTCCTGCTGTATGCACACAAGTAGGGTTTGTTTGTTTTTTTAAGATTTTATTTATTTATTTGACAGGAAGAGAGAGCAAAGGCAAGGGGAGCAGGAGAGGGAGAAGCAGGCTCCCCAATGAGCAGGGAGCCCGACGACGCATCCCAGGACCCCGGGGTCATGACCTGAGCCAAAGGCAGACACTTAACTAATTGAGCCACCCAGGGACCTGAAAAAAGAGTTTAAATCAACTCACAATATACCCGGACACATCTTTTTGGGTCATTTAAATGAGAGATGCTTTGAGGAGAATTTCATCTACTTCGGGGAGAGACTATCTGACCTGGATTCAGGCCAAACATTTGTTTTTTCATTTGTTTGTTTGCTGGTAAGCCACATAAAAGTTGCTAGCCATTTTTGATGAGGCAATACTGAAATTCAAATGGGAAAATGCAGATGTAAGAGTAGTCAGGGGACACCTAGCTGGCTCAGTTGGTGGGGTATGCAAATCTTGATCTTTGGGGGTTGTGAGTTCAAGCCCCACTGTGGGTGTAGAGATTACTTAAAAAAAAAAAAGAGTAGTCAGGAAAATAAAGAACTCTTACAACTCAATAACAAAAAGACAACCCAATTTTTTTTAAAGATTTTATTTATTTATTTGAGAGAGAGAGAGAGAAGGAGAGAGAGAGAGCACATGAGACGGGGGAGGGTCAGAGGGCGAAGCAGACTCCCTGCTAAGCAGGGAGCCCGATGCGGGACTCGATCCAGGGACTCCAGGATCATGACCTGAGCCGAAGGCAGTCGCTTAACCAACTGAGCCACCCCGGCGCCCAAGACAACCCAATTTTTTTAAAATGAGCAAAAGAACTTGAATATGTATTTTTCTCCAACGAAGATATACAAATGGCCAATAAGCCCATAAAAAGTTGCTCACCATCATTAGTCATCAGAGAAATACAAATGAAACTACAATGAGATAATCACTTCACACTCACACTCACTAGACTGGCTGGAATTAAAACAAAAACAAAACCCAACAAAACAAAACAAAACCAAAAACCCTAAAACAGGAAATAACAAGTCTTGGCCAGGATGTGGAGAAATTGGAACTCTCGTGCATTGCTGGTAGAAATGCAGAATGGTGCAGCTGCTGTGGGAAACGATTTGGAGTTTTCTCAGTAAGTTAAACAGAATTACCGTATGAGTAATTCCACTGCTAATACATACACTAAAGAATTGAAAACATACATTCACCACAAACACTTGAACATGAGAATGTTCATAGTGGTATTATTCTCAGTAGCTACCAGGTGGAAACAACCCAAATGTCCACCGATGAATGGATAAACAAAATGAGGTATGGCCATGAGATGGAATATTATTCAGCCATAAAAAAGGAATAAAGTACTAATGTATGCCACAACATGGATGAACCTTGAAAACATTACGCTAAGTAAAATCAACCAGTCACAAAAGACTACACATTCTATAATCCCATTTATTATGAAACATCAAGAATAGGAAAATCTATAGAGACAGAAAGTAGATTGATGGCTGCTTAGGGTGGGAGGAGCCAGGGAATAAGGGAACTAAGCTAAAGGGTATGAGGTTTATCTTTGAGGTGATGAAAATGTTTTAAAATTGACTGTGATGATGGTTGCACTCTGAATATACTAAATCTGTTGCTTTAAAGGGAATTGCATGTTGTGTGAGTTATATCTCAATAAAGCTGTTTAGAAAAAAAAATATCCAGGAAATCTCTGGAAAGTAAAAGTAATGAGGGCAAATTAGCTCTAACAGATTTTTAAATAGACTATAAAGTATAATAACCCATGCGGTAATAATGCAGGAGTAGACAGATAAAAAACAGATAGGAAAGTCAGAAATAGACCCAAATACATATGTGAATTTCACATGTGATATAAGTAGCATTTGAAATCAGTGGGGGAAATGTGGATTACTTAGTAAATGTCATTTGGGACATCTGTCTTTTAGGGGGAAGATAAAGCTGTACCCTTACCTCCTTACACCAAAATTAACTCCAGATAGAAAGTTTAAATGCAAAAGGTAATTGTACAAAACTCAAAGAAGTCTCAGATAGATTTTGTCATAATCTTGAACGGGAGAAGGTCTTTTTAAACATGAAACAAAACCCAAAAACTATAGAGAAAAGATTGGCAAATTTATGGTGTGAAATTAAAACTTCTATATGGTCAGAAAGACAAACTGGGGAAAACATTCACAGTCTATATCAAAGATAAAAGATAATTTCCTTTAAAAGTTTTTTTAGATTTTGTTTTGGATTTTTTTTTTTAAATAATAAATGTGTATTCCGAGCCCAGAGCACACACTCCTCACTCTCAGCACCAACCACCAGGGAGAAGGGCAAAAGATAATTTCCTTTAGAATACAAAGATCTCTTAAAAAAAAAAAAAAAGGAAAAGGAAAACAAAACAAAAAACCCATCTTTTATTCGTTAGAAAAAAAACCCAGTAAGATGTGAAATAAAAATGGTAAAGAAGTCTACAAAGATGCTTCAACATCACAAAATTTAAAAGTACAAATTAAAACAGGAGTTTTTTGGGCGTCTGGGTGGCTCAGTTGGTTGAGCGTCTGCCTTCGGCTCCGGTCGTGATCCCAGGGTCCTGGGATCGAGCCCCGCGTCGGGCTCCCTGCTCAACAGGGAGCCTGCTTCTCCCTCTGCTGCTCCCCCTGCTTGTGCTCTCTCTCTGTGTTAAATAAATAAAATCTTTAAAAAAAATAAAATGGGAGGTTTTTTTAAAAAAAGATTATTTGAGAGAGAGAAAGAGAGAGGCACAGGAGGGGCAGAGGAGAGGGCAGAAGCAGACTCCCCCACTGAGCAGGGCATGTCGTCTAGAGTGTCTCAAAGCCAATGGACAGCAATGGGGACAATTGGTTTTCACCCATCCATCCCAAGCCATCATTCTAGTAGACCTTTAGGACAAGCTTGTGCATCTGGGGAGG